AACCCAGAATAAGTATTTTATTTGGGGAGGAACACAAACGTCTGGGATAACAGTTTGGCTGAAACATTGGAATGAATGAAACAGAAGTGATCCTGGCTTTAAGCAYGTGTGCAGCACTAACCTTTATAAACCTGAACTGACAGTACAGTTTATTGTACTGCTTGAACAGATAGTCAAGCTGCACTAATAGTACATCTTTAATCAGCAGTGGACATAGCAAAACTTGGGACAAAGGGCAGGCGTTCTGCATCATGTACTTGACTGCATGTTGTAATCAAGCACACAAGTATGTCGGTGGTGCAACACCCTAAATATTGGGATCTTAATCTATGGAATGCAAACACAACTAGAGAAGAAAAGAGCCTCCTGTTGCAGGCCCAGGGTAGGGTACTGTACTGCATTTATGAAATGATATTCTGAGCAATCTGGGAATTGTTCCTCCAGCAAACTCTTTTCCCATCTTCCATTGGAAAACATCTGTCAAAGCTGAATCTTCTTTGGAAATATCAAGCWGAGAAGGTTACAGAAAGTCTTTCTCTACCTGAGTTAAGTATCTGGTTAAGAGAACAACAGTACCAGAAAAGCCAAGTTATTCTTAGTTCCCTAAGCTACCGGAATGGAGCACTAAGTTTTTTTTTTTATAGTCTGAGAGGTTTCTTTCCTCCAGTCTCTTATTTCAGGGGTGTTACTCCATAAATATATGCAAAATGTAACCAATAGACCACAAAAAAATCACCCCCACAACACACACCCCACTCACCTCAAGATCAAGTCTTATGTGAATCAAGCCTAACAAAGTTGAAATTAGTATTTCACACCTAACACTACTGACTTAGGAATCCCCTTATTCTTCCAGAAATAATAAAAAAGACTACTGAAGAGTTTTAGAAGGTGAGAAAACCATTTTTTTCCATGTTTCCATCTAATACTGTACCCAGTTAATAGAGCAGCAACTGTAGGAGTGATCTTTATAGAACCCCTCTCCTATTTTGCTGTAGGTATTACTTTGTAAATCAGCAAAGTAACAAGAGCTGAAGCTAAAAATACCATCTCCCCAAGCTACTAAYTGTAGGACCCCCTTGTAAGAGGTTTCCCAATGACTAAGCACTAGTGCAGTTGCAGARTGTGATTTTTCCATGTATTGCCTACCTAGCAGTATGGTTCCTAGAGCTTTAGAGTCAGACTGGAAACCTTTAGAAGACTGAGCAGCCTACACCACGCATTTGGCCCTTTATTGCAAAGGCCCAAAAAGCATCATCATCACTTCATATCATTTCTCAGATACTAGTCTAGAAAGTTCTAGGCTAACAAAAAACAGAAATCACTCCTGTTGGATATAGACCTTCCCACATCTAGTCAACCTTTGCTCATAGCTGCCATAGTTGACTCCTCATGAGGCTGTTATACTAGCTTTCAAACAGAGAAGAAAGAGGCAAATCTATCAGAAATAACAAGCTTAGGTGCAGCTATTTACTTCAGGTATTTGCAGATTAATCAGGCTTGGTAAAGTGCACAAGGCTAAAACACTTCATTTCCATTTATTTTAATTTCTATTTAAGCTCACTTCTTTTAGTGGTGCATAGCAGCCCTAACTTGCTCTAAGGGAAGCTGCAAAAATCTCAGCAGGACAAGCATTTTTAGCACAAAAATGCTTCTATTCTCACACACAAGACTTATTCCAATTTTGGCAGCCCAGGGTCAGAGATTGCAACTGGGTCCCAAAAGATTATTAAGTCAGTATTAAAACAACATGAGGACTATATTCCAGACTCTTTATGTCATTAAAGCTGTTACTTTTCAGCAAGTGGCTGCATACCAGAAAGAGACATGAAATAGCAATCTTAGAGCCGACTTCAGAAAATGTTGTTATTTATTTAGAGAAGTGCTGCTCCTGCAAGCTGCTAATTTGAGACCACCACAATGATTTGGTCTCTTTCTTGGGAAAGATAGTRGCATCTGACACTTGCTAAGGGTGGAAAGCATCCTACCTGTTTTGAATTCCTGTTCATGTTCATATTCCAGTTCCTATCTGAAATCCATTCTCACAGCAGAGACATAACAAAACTGTTATGTCCCATCAACTATTCTGCTTTTTAAAGCAGAAGGTTTCAAATTAGTTGAAAGTTCAGTGGGTTTGTGTAGCTTCATCCACACACCTCCAAAAAACCCTTTTCTAGCAAGAAAAATGCCGCCATCTTCAATAGTACCAACCCAGGTATAAGGAGAGAGAGGAGGAAAGGAAAAAAAGCTTAATTTTCAAACTTCTGCATTTAATGACATTTTCAAAAAAAATTAAATCTTTTAAGCAGTAGAAAAACTCAGTTGCCTTCCCTTTTGTTAAGCAAAAACTAACATTCAGACCCTGAGGATTACTAGCTACACTCTGTTTGCATACACTCTCAAGGGGCATTCTAGGTAGCCACCATTCACACAAGTCAGCAGCAAGATGTGGAATACAGCCTAAAATATCTACTCAGCAACAGCACAACTCAGAGAAAGGTAGGGAAAAAAAAGTTCCATGATTATTCCTGATTTTTCCATTGCCTCATAGTATAACAAAAGAGTCCGAAAGCACATTGAACCACATCCATGAGTCACCCCTACTTGGGTATTATATAGTTAGCATCTCAGTAAGCTCAGTGGTGGTCTTAACTATCACAGACAGACAGACCTCAATAAAGCATCATGACTATGTCCAAGACTACTTACCTCTATGAGATGAAATTTGGTTTTGGTTCTAAGCATCTCTCCCTGCAAGAACATCTTTAGTGTCGAGCCTTATTTTGTCAAACCTCTGCTACAGTAGTTGTAGCAGAGTGCTCCGCCAGTTGCATACTAGAAAGTAATTAGTAGAGAGGGCAAATAAAGGTAATAGTAATGAAGTCCATTGCTATTCATGTTAAATTTGCTTTGGGAGTTAAGAAATATCTGAAATGCATCCTATAGACCTTATATTATTGCCATTGTAGGAGCGGAGTATCCTAGGATGTAGGAGCCTGCCTAGAGTGCCTTGGTTTCCATGAAGGGAAGGGAGGGACAGTTGTACAGTTGTAAAAAGCATAATGAGAGGTGAAGCCAAAATTAATTGTGATTTGGAGGATGTAAACATTTACCTGTTAAAAAAAAAATCTCAAAAGTGACCACCACTAGCATGCAGAGACTCTGCATCATATTAACGAAGTGAAATAAAACAGGTTGTAATTTGTCACGCGCATCCTACTTTGGGTAACGCCACATTTTTGTAAGTTAACTCACATACTTCACCCATTTCCCTCATTTTCCATAAGATGTATCAAACTGAGAATTCATTACAATGTTCAGTGATACCATTGCAAACGCAATACAGAGAATRTTGTATCTCTAAAGGAAAAGGATTGGCCTCATAGATCCTTTCCAAAGTTTGTGCTTTTGTTGCATGAAATAGCTCCCCAGCAGAGCAGGCAAATGATAATCAAGATAAAGACTTAAGTGTACAAGCAACTTTCACCTTATATTAGGCTGAAGTCAAGGGTAACTTCCCACAAGGGTTAATAATCTGCCCAAGGTTAGGGCCTATGTGAAATGTCAGTTTTTATCTAAAGCTATAAGAAAGACTCGTTCCAGCTTTCAATACAAGCAAATAAAGAAAAAAAAACCTTATTTTCACTAGTTCACCAAGCAAAGCAATTTTGTTGTTACAGTTTTCTGCCTGAATGTACTGAATGTCTGTGCATATGTAATAAAAGGAATTGCTTAGTTCCCATCAGCTTCCCTCAGGAATGTGACAATGTGCAACTGCAGAAAGACCAAACTGCTACCTGATGCAAGGTTAGCAGAATTCAGATTTGCTAGTTTTACGGTGACAGGATGAGCATCCCTTTCTCAGGAGCTCATTTTTATCCTAAAAATCGTTACATATTTGTTTCAACATGATTGGACAGGTCCAGGCAATATTAGATTGGGACCTATTTACTAATAACCAGGAAAAGGAAAAGGAAAAGGGAGCTGGATCTCTTACCTGTTGATCTCATTCCCTTATGTACCTTCTCCATGCCTCAGTTTACCTATCAATAACACTCCTCTAATAATCACCTGCATCCTGAGCCTTGGTGATGTTTAACAACTGATTGGTTGTTAAACATCTGGTAATTGTAAAACAGACTTAAGTACTAGGCACCTTGCACCATAAATGTAAGTCCTAATAATTTCTCTTCAAAGCAGAACGCACAGCTCTGGAACTGATGAGTATATTAGCGTGCCAAAAAACCATAAGAAGTTTAACTGAAAGTGCCTTCTCAAACTAAATGCCTCAGTTCAGAGTTACAACTCTGGGAAAATTATCAGCCACTCCAGGCAAAGTGGTATTTTGAACTAACGCAGCTTTTTGCACTTTGATGAGAACAGACAACACCAGGAGGAAACACACACATCAGCACTTTTTCTTCCCCTCTAGCACAATGCAGGCTTTGAAGTAGCAACAAATGAGAACAGGTGTATTTTGTAAACAATTTTTTACATCAACTTTCAAGTGAAGATTACYATGTAAAATGATTAAAAGGCTCAATGTCTTCCTTTCTGCAAAAGCTAACGTAAATAAACAATTATTCCTTTTTTTTTTGCAAAGAAATTAGGTTGATCAGTTAAGTCTCCTGCAGAAGAACTTGAATGAGTCTGATTAGTCTCAGCTACTTAAATTCAGAAACAGATGCCTTACTTTGCAAGCCTAGTGATTAAAGGCTGCATTCACACACAAAAAAAAATGGATTACGCACACTTAAGACAATACCTAGCACTTCCCAGCCCACACCCTGCAGCAGATGGCCACTACAATTAGTGACTTCAAAAAATTCTGAGTAGAACTCCTCCAGAGCTAAGACATGGCTGGCCTCACTTCAAGGGACAAATGTKCAGACGAGCCAAGAGCATTTCCAATGTTTTTGTCACATTAGGGCTTGTCACACAGGTCAAGAAAGCCATTCAGTTCATTTACACAGGAGTGTGAGTCAAAATAAAGTACTTACACGTTCCCAGAAGAGTCACCCATATGGCCACCAGCAGCACAGAGGAGGTAAAAGACTAATACAGCTCGCCAGACAGTAAATAAAACCCACATCTCACCCTCCTCAGGCTTTAGCCAGCAAGCAAGCAGGGRCTCAGAAGCACAGAATAACTCATTATCTACCCCAGAAGGCACTGCCCTGCCAAACCGCTCTTCATCAAGCCCTTAACAGGTGTAAAATTAGCAGCCCTTATTAAGGACAATGGAGTTACATACATTGCCAGCAGCTGAAGAAATGTGCTAGAATTGTTTTCACCTCTGCTTAATTCACTACCATTCAAGAAGGAGCAAGAGGCCTGTAAATTAGCTGAGTGCTTAGTGTGGTGAGTTAAGGCAGTGTGTGAGCCCCCTTTCCAACAGACTCCTGATCCTGTTTTCACCCATGCTAGTATAAGTTTAGACAACCTAAATTCACTTGAATGTACTTTTTCCAGATTGGCACTTATGCAATCTGTAACCAGGATCTGGAGCTATAAAAATCCTCATAAGCAAATTCTGCTGCAGTTATTTTCTGCTTTTCTAGCCCTACTGAACATAGATCTACCAGCTGCACCAATATTCTCTCAATTACTCTCAATTCATTCCCAGAAGCTGAGAAATGAGTTATTTACAGAGAGAAGCAAATCTCTATCAAATGTGTCTCATTACAGATGAAGACCTCATGTTTAGGGCTAGAAGTCCCTGAATCACTCTCAGGAGTACATAGCCTCATTATATATTTTTCTCTTTTAATAATATGCTGAGCTTTAAAAGCAAATTATTTAGATTCCTACAGCGCAGAGGAGCTTCTCCAAGCTGAACCATTTGTATTCAAGGGCACAGTGTGTCTCACCACTCTCCCCATTACCCCCAGCAAGCTGGAGAACACTGTCCAACATCAAACAAATCTGAGGAAGGGCAGGAATCTCAGTGGTAATTACGTTCCCATGGGGTTTCATGCAAACTGGCAGTGAGATAGAGGAGGAAATTAACTCCTCCATGAGCAAAGTGCGGGCGCAAGTCAGACATTGAACAGTCCCTTGGACAGCCAGACAACACCTGAGTAAGTCTGCACCACAGCCCATGTTGTCTTTCATCTGCCAGTGTTGTCATAGGGAAGCTGTCAGGAGCTTGGGATTAGTAGGAGGAAACAGAGGGAAGGTAAAAAAATAAAATAAAAATAAAATGATAAGAAATCATCATGCTGGTTTGTTTCCATTGCCAGACACCACGCACAGCCCAAATCCCAAACCAAGGGCCAAAGCTCTCTTGCATTAATATTTTCTGCTGTTGCAATGTGTGGCAATGGCACCRGTCTAAGCAAGAACAGTGAACTCTGTTAACCAGAGATGGTTAATAGCCACAGGTTCTCATCTGTTATAGTTGTTTCGCAATTTTTCCTATCATTATTTTGTGATGCAGTCAGAACATGTCTGAAACACCAAACATAAAAAGCGAATTGTTACTGTCTCTGTATTCAAAGGCCTCTGAACAAGTTCAGGACTGGACAAAATTGAAAAAAAAAAAAGTTTGCCGAGATGCAAAAGGCTTACTGCTGTTGGTGATTCATAACAAATCTTAGAAAAGGAAAGGAAAAAAAAAATAAAAATAGCAATTTACTATCACACAGAGCAAGTCTGTGGTTCTTGTTGGGTTGGTGGGTACACTGAGTTGCCAGCAGACTGCAGGGCTGTGTTAAGCTGGCTGGCCCCTACCTGGATCCTTCCACATGGCCTCTCCTTCCACTCCTTTCTCTGCTAATGCAGAATTGCTGTGTACAGCCAYGACAGCCTTCCCACTCCTTGCTCCTCATGCACAGCGAGGTCTGTTATTTCTTCACGGGTCTCACCTCGCTCCGGGCAATGGAAGTGATTGCGATCTCAGACATGTTAATGGTAACGAAACAYCCGTTTTGACATTAAGCTGTAAGGTACAAGCACAGCCTCTGTGGTGCAATCAGGAAAAAAGCTGGAAAGGCTCCAGGTGACCCACAGAGCCCTGCCACACTGGGTCTGAAATCAGGGACACTATTTAAACAAGGTCTGTGTCTTTCCAAAGACTGTGACTTAGCAGGAGAACTTGAATCATAGTCTAGTTACCACAAATGCTTCCATCAACCAGGGAAGCTCCTCAGTTGTGCACTGGTGCTCTCCTACAARCACACACTGCATAAATAGAAAGCAGCAAGACGTCCTTTAGATGGGTATGTGCCACTGCACTGCAGGCTGGCAAAACGTTTCAGTCCTTCACTCTGATGCAATGATAGCACAAGAGAGGCAAGGCAGATTCAACACATCTGCAAACACAAAGCCACGCTGCCTATATTAAAGTATAGACACGTTTTAAACTTATATGCAAGTAATAAAACTACTGTTGGTGCAGCCCATTGCTGTGGGAGATTACAGTTAAATCACACCTAGTGAAGTATCAGGAGCTCCATGCTCCTGATRGCAGCTCAGTGGAAGCCACTTGAAATGCACACAACTTGTATGGGTCCTAGAGAGCCTGGGARCAACCCTATGAGATCTCATTTACCATCAGCTAGAAACTTATTAACTAGCTGCTTCATACATATTAAGGGTATATATAACCAGATAGAGGTTTTTGCAGTCCGTGACATTGGATTCACATTTTCCTAAGGGAGAGAATGGAAGGCAGCATTTCTAACCGTTCCCAATATCCAGTTTGTATGTGGTGCTGTCAGAGGGCTGTGCCCGTTCTCAGATAGGTTATTAACGTTGCTAACGAGGATGGGCCCTGAAGGGCAGGGACTGCCCTCCAGCATTCCCAGCTGCAGGGAGGAAGGCTGGTCTGGAACAGCCTGGTACGTACAAAGATGAGATCCCTGGCCATATTCCCAATAGAAACAGGCATATCTCTCATATTAAGTAATCTTATGGCATAAAAGGCTCAAATGTCACATCCATAACATCCATATAGGGATATAGGGAGTTACATATAGGGAGTACACAATTCTCCAACTCAAAATTTATACATGTGAAAAGGGATCTTCAGTCTCTATGGCAAACCAGTCAGTGTGTTGCCAATACATCTGGAAATCTTTCCTGACGTGGTTAATTCAAATACCTTCCAGTAGTTTCTGTCTTAAAGGAATGGGAAAAGGTATCATGGAAGTTTAGTTCTATGGTAATAGTTCAGAACTTAGTTTGTGTTCAATCAGCTCGCTATGAAGAACAAGCCCATGAAGTAGCATCATTGTCTAGAATGAAGAAGATAAATTTTTCCAAAGTCGTCAGTCTTCTGGGGAGAGGTCCAGGGCACCCTAGGAATGTACCTGATGTTAGTTTGATGATCCGTTGTTTTGTTTTGATTGCTTTTATTTTTCTAAAGAGTGGCTGATAAAACAATTTAATAAGCTCCAAACATGTAAGCCAGGAAAAGCAGTAGGTTTCCACATTCAACAGGCTACTGTTCATTCAGCAGGCAACTGGATACGTTCCAGAAAAATCCCATACCAATGAGTAGCTGTCTTGCTGGAGCTCTTTGGAGAATATGTGGTGCATATGCATTATTCAACAATTGCTTAAAAATATCTAAAAAAAAATCCTAACAGTTCAAGCTTCAACCTTTTTAATTTGGATTTAGTAATCATTACAGCTTAATTTCTAAGACCTACAGTGTAATGAAGGTATGGCACAAAACTCTGAGCAGTTCTCAGGTGCGATTTGAATACAAGCGTTGCTCAGAGGTCTTCAAGCAAACAAATCCCGACCTGTAATACCTGAAGGTCACTAGTAARTGTGTCTGCTGGGCCTGTCAGCACTGTGATATGATCCTCAGCATAACCCCACTGGTCTCAGCACTGCCAGTGCTCAAGTGTATGAGTCGTAGATGTGAACTCTACAAGACTGTTTTCCTTCACCAACCATCCCTTTACTTCTTACACTATATGTTGTCCTGGCAAGGGGTAATTCATACTTAAAACCTGCATAGCACCTGATGGTGAAGTGCATTTACAGCTGSAATAGTAGCAATGAATAGCTGGAAGAAAAGGTGACAGCACTTTAGATATCAATGAGCAAGTTGGAGACCAAGAGAGACACCTGAAAAAGTCACAGCAAGAAAAACAGAAGATGCCCAAAAGCCAAATAAGGCCTGGAAAACGGAATAAACAGGGAAAACCTGAATTTGCAAAAGCATTTTATGAAATTACTGCATCAAAGCTTTGCAAAGGATTCAGCTGGGAGGAGGCTGAGCAATGATATGACCAAAGACAGAGTTTTGTGGGGGGCAGCACATGCCTGTGCTGGGTTCTTGTCACCCCTTTTTATCTGCCTAGTACCTGCACAGCTTCTGCGGAGAAATGCCGTCTGGCCTCTGGCATYCTCCTTCTTAATGAGAATATATTATTACATTTTTCTCTATGTGTTTCTTTTCCCAAAAGCTGAAGGGAAGGCTTTGTTTTCTCTCATTTCCTGCCATCGAGGTAAATGGCATTTCTTCACTTTGAGAACTGAGAGGTTTGACAACGGGCGCGGGAGGCTCCTCAGCGCTCAGGAAGCGACGTGGCCAGAGACTTGTTTTTAGGAGCTGTTACAGGCACCATTTGGAGGGAAACACACTTTGTCCTTCCCCTTAATACCCTATTTAGATTTTTAAAAATTGTGTTTGTACAGCACTTAKCCCCATGAGACAGCAGCCTTTAGGTACAAACATAACTCATTTAAATGGTAATGCACAACCATGTGAGTGGCACCCTTCAAAACTAGGGACGTTTGTAAGTGTGTAGCGGCCAGGTGCTGACAAGTGGAGTGTCACTGTTACAGACRCAGGCAGAGCTCTAGGTGAGCCAGTGTTTAAAAGTCAGTTTTTCCAGGCAAAGGCCAGACTTCTAAATCCTGCTGGTTTCTCTGCAGCCTGTGCCCTGCAGCGCTGCAGGTGCCTCCCAGAGCGCAGCACATTGAGACACTACAGGTAGTTCCTGCACAAGGTCAGATCAATTAAAAGCTGTTTTAAGTCCAGTCAGGTGAGCGGTGGCAAGAGCTGTGCAGACTTGATTAGGTCCCTGCTGCTCTGAAGGGCAGAGTCAGCGGCGACCGGGTGCCCTCGCGTAGGAGAGGCCGATAACGCGGGGCACGAGCCTGGTCTCTCAGCACCCCAAGGCTGAGGGCCTTGCCCTTCTGGCCACATAATGCA